TTTGTTTCTTGTTGATTGGCTGTTTCCTTCCCATTGTTTCGTATTTCTTATAGTTTGTCTTTATTGTTCAAATGTAAATGTCTACTGTGTTACGGCCAGCCTTACTCTTTTGTTGTTTAATTGTCTGGTCTCAGTCTCCACAGTGCTGGGATGACTAACACATTGCACACACCTGGATCACTAGATTTTACTCCTGCTATTTTGAAAAAAATCACAGTATGATTAGAAAAGTTGGTCCCATTCTGTCCATCTCTGGGTTCCCAGCACCTCCATTTCAGGCTGTGCAGTTTGCTCAGTTTGACGCTCCCCACCTACAGAGCTGACCCAAGGGACCCAGTTGGTGGTTCAGGTTACCGCCTCCCTTCCCTTCCCTTCCCAGCACTGGCCTGCATCTTCTAAGCCCAGGCCTTCCCTGCCTGTGTGTGTGTGTGTGTGTGTGTGTGTGTGCGTGCGTGCGCGCGCGCGCTGCCATCTTAGGTACAGGGTCCATGTCCAGAGAAGCAGATCCAAGGCATGGAGAGATGGCTGAAGTGCTCTCTTGGTCACTTCCCCCAAAAGGTCTTGGAGACCTCTGATGTCCAGCTGTGCTTGGAGTGGGCAGTCCTAAGTGACACCTCAGGGCAGGTGCGTGGTGTGTGCACGTCTACCACTGACTCAGGCTTCACCCTCTTCTCTCTTTCTCTTTCTTTCTTTCTCTCTCTCTCCAGGAACTTTTAGGTTGAAATACGCCCCTCCAGCAGAAAGTCTGGACTCCACGGACTGATCTTTTTTTTTTTTTTTGGCAACAGAACATTTTATTAAGCCATGAAAAAAAATCACGTAGAGAACTGAAGTTGAGTTGCTGTGGAGCCATGAAGACCTAAGGGAAATCACGTAGAGAGCTGAAGTCGAGTTGCTGTGGAGCTTAATATTTTTAACCCAAAGGTGCTTTACTTTACTATACTGGATAGAGAATCTAGCATAGAAGTGCGTCAAACTCGATTTCATTGCCAAATTCCTAGTGTGGAGCTTGATACAAGGATTGCCTAGTGGGCATCTCTATGGCAGTAATGTGGCCGGCACACCGTTGCTGCAGTGTGAAGACCCGTCTCCCGAAGATCGCTGGTCCTTCTAGGCTCATGCATAATTCCAGGGCAGCTATGCACGACCTGAGTCAAGACTGCGGGTCGGTTCTCTCAAGTGGAGTTCCCCAGTCGGATCCAGGACCTTTGGCCTAGGAAGCGCCAACTGGATTTTGCTGTTTCCTAGAGTGGGGAGCCCCACATCCGGCTTCTTAAGGATTGCACTACCTGACGAGGACCTCTGCAGTCTGGGAGGCAGACTCTGCTGGGACCTGACAATGTAGGGGACTCCATCGGTGGGCATTGGAGTTGGCACCAGCAGGCTGCTCAGCCTAGTACACCTAGAGGTTGCAGAGTGTCCTTCTGTAGACACTTGGAGCAGTTCCAGGTTTTTAATATTTTTTTTCTGTAAACAAATTTACACTATATTAGTAAATAAGACATAGCTCACTCTCAACAACTTCATTTCTAAGGGTCCAAGTCCCAGGGAATCCAGTCACCGAGGCTTGAGACCACCCCTCCCGTTGGTGGCTTTGAGCCTGCTCTCTCCAAACAAGAACCAACTCTTGAGGACATGGGAATGACTCGATGTTGAGTTGGCTGTGACCGATGCTCCTCATTTCTTCAGGAAGCTGGCAAGTTGCCGTGTCTCAAATGGCTTCCCCAGGACCCCAGCCCCAGAGCTCACTGCTGATGAATTCACACTTGAGACAAATGTTCAACAGTAATACAGTCCTGTGATTTATGAACAAAAGACTGGAAACTGTCAGCTTCTTTTGTAGTAGGCTGTGTCTTGATAGTTAATTCCGTTAAAATTGCCTGGAAAACTTCAGTAGAGAGAGATGCAAGACTCCTCGAAGCCGCTCACCAGTTACCATCCAGACCAGGGGTGGGGGTGGGTCCTCACTCTTGATCAGGGTGTGAACTTCTCAACCTACACAGTGGAGGCATGAGGGACTTAGACCTCTGAGGTTAAAGGGAATTTTATGCTCAAATAACAATAACATTATTTAAATTTGCTGAAGCCTTTGGTATTAAAAAATTGATGGTAAGATCTTGCCAAGGATTTTCCAAGCTTCCTAGTTATGGAGAAGAAAATCACAGTCCTTAGACCATTCTTCAGTTGGGACAGTCACCCTCATGCAGAATTAGTGTAAATCACAAAATAGCCTAGAACTGGAGGTGTTGTGACGTAAGGCTTCATATTCTAAGGTGGGCTTTCTGTCTGGAGACCCACCTGGAAGGCTTGAGTGTTGTGGATTCTATGCAATGCAGGATTGATAGACCTCTGTTCTGTCCATGGCACACAGTATCACATCTGTTCTGAGGTGATGGTGATGAGGCGTTAGGGGATGCTCTGTTGATCTCTCACTCAGAAACACTACAAATGTCAAATACAAGAACTGACACAACTTTGCCTTAAAGAGCACCAGACTGGGATTGGTCGCATTGTTAATAAGGAAGACTTAGAGTGGTCATTGATGTTTACGATTTTAATATTTCTGAAGGCCGTTACAGTGGCCTGGATATGTGCTGAAAGCCAAACTTTTAAATTTTTTGGTTTTTTTTTTAAACAAAGAAATATTTTAAATAAATCCTATTTCAACACAGAAATTGTTGAAAACTGTCTCATAGCAAAAGAAAAAAAAATCATATTTAAGTTTTTTGTTTTGTGGTCAGTATAGGGAATGGAAGTGTCTTGTTCCCCTTACAGCTGTTAGCCAGAAGGACAGCAGTCTGCTGTGGCGACTCCCACATAACTGTGGCATTCAGCCGAGGTGATTCAGCACCATCTCAGCCATCCAGACTGCCTAAGTCTGTGTCTGGAGGCTGCCCGCTGCCTTTGGAAGAGCTGTGTGGTGGTGTGGCATTTCTGTGAAGCCGACGAGGATTGCAGAAGCATGCACGACAAGGAAGCACGGCTGGATGTTAGCAGGTGGGGCTCACCCCCAGAGCCTGCGGATGCCGTCAGCTTGGCCAGCACTTCTCCACCAGGAGACTTCACTGTTACAGTTAACAGACCAGCCCTTTCCGGTCATTTTCCTGAACTTCTCAGTGTCAGATGGCAGTGATACCCAGGCTGGCATGGCCCTGGGGCTGCAGTGTCAGTTTCTAGCCTGTGTTGACATCTCAGGGTGGAAAGTGGGATATTCAGAGAGGAAGGAGGGCACTATGTTGGGACAAAAATAGCTATGTGACCTTTTTGTTGTTAAGCAAAATACTCAGTTTTCTACCTTTCTAGTTTTTATTTCATGGTCAATAGTGAAAATTGGAAAGTGTTTTAATGCTGAAAACTCCTAACTGCTGAAGAGCCCCAAGGCATAGGAGCTAGCACTCAAGAGTAGACAGAATGTTTTCTTGAACATATGCGCAGTTGGGTATTAGGGAACCGGTGGCACGCTCATCTCCAAAGACCATAGCAGCCTGCCTGTTAATGCCGTGCTCAGCAGTTTCTGTGTGGAACTTGTTAGGTTTCCAGTCCTTCTGTGGGTCCTGGCTTGTACCATACACACGTGCATGTGTGCCATGACAGTCCCTTGAGGACAGCCTGATGGTAATTGGGTCTCACCCTCCTCACTCCGTCCCTGTCGCTCTTTCTGCTTCCTGGCGTTTGGTCTGACGTGCTAGTTTTACAGCCAGCCAACAGGTGACATTACTTGCTGAAGTCTTAAAAGGTTGCAGGGCCGCAGTCCTCAGACAGTCTTGGGGAGCCTGAGCAGGGACAGCTGTCCTTTCCAAAGCGCAGGTGACTCCCATAGAACAGATCAGGTGGCCCAAGGAACCGTGGGGCCAGAGACTGGATGCTGCCCTGACCAGGGTTTGAATGGACATGCAGGCACCTGTAGTCAACACTTGGCAATATTCAGGAACCCACATACTGTACCACTGGCAAGGCCAGGTCCAGGTCACTGCCCTGTCACAAGGGTGCAGCGGCCCTGCCCTCAACACAGGTCAGTTCTCACGCACACACAGGAGGGTTGGTACCAAGACGGAAACCTTCAGATTCTATTGGGCATATTTTCTTTTTAGGAATGAAGGACAATTCTCCCACTTTTGAGCCATTCTTTTGTCAGTTCTACAAAATTGCATGTAACTTTATAAATATTTTTAAAAGATATAGTTTTGTAAATATTTAATATTCTGCTAATTTGATTTTGAATTGTAAATGTCAAGTATTCTGTTTTTGGGGTTTTTATGTTTTATTATACTTTGTTAAAAAAGGAAAATTGTACATTTTTAGACTGTTTTTATGAGTAAATTTAATGTACGGAAAATAAAAATTTGAAAAAACTGAAGTGTTCGACATTCCCAGATCTCTTGTCACCTAGTGAGGCAGGACCCTTTCCAACTCAGGCCTCTTCTCTAGGTGAAGGAGGTTCTTCCTTCTCTCCTCCCATTCCTAGGGCTCCCAGCTTTGAACAGTGTCCTCACAGTACACACGCTTGGATGGGTTAAGGAGGTTTCAGCCGCACACTCTGACACTCGCAGAACTGTGGTATGGCCTGCCCTGCTCTTCAGGAAGGGAACCTGTAGCAGCAGTGCCTGAGACTGACTGATCAGTGTCTTTGCTGTGAGCTGCTGAGGCGGTGCTCTACCTGATGGCCTGTCTGCCACCCAGAGCCAGCTTCCTGGACTGCCCTGAGGGGACCCAGGAGCAGCTTTGCAGACCCAGCTGTCTGCTCTAAACTGAGGTTGGTCGTGCTGCCCCCTAGTGGCCCACACGGGCAAAATCTCCCACACCACATTCATCCCTGCTCTCACGGTTCGGGTGATGTGTGCCCTGATGGCAGATGGGTCAGCTATCCAGAGACCTTCAAAGCAGGAGCTGACGGCAAGGTGCTGGCCAAGGAGCGCAAGCTGTGCATCTCCCCTCCCCTCCCCCCCAGCAAGAGCAGCCCAGGCAGACTGCTGACACCACGAGACAGCTCCCAGGATAGGTTGAGTTTCAGTTGTGCCTTTATTCACTTAGTGCATCAAAGTGTACAGGCGTCCTATAAATGAAGCCACCCTCTGAGCAGCATTTTTTAAAGCAGTATTACAGGAATCCTTATTGATCGCACCATAGTTATAAAAACCAGGGATATAATAACACACAACCTGCACAGGACAAGGGCAGTGAGGCTTTACACAACGTAAAATAACGGAGAGTTAGCAATTGGACAGCTGCATGCAGGGAGGGGTGGGGGTGCCTGTAAGGAGCGAGGCTGGAAGGTGGCTAGATGGGCTTCCCTCCATGACAGCAGGCAGCTCTCTCACTCAGATTCTCAGACAAATGAGTGAGCAGGGTGGTCTGAATGTCCCAGTGGACCACATGCAGGAAGCAGTGACTTGCTTTAGTTGGAACTGGCCATAGATGTCCTCCAAGACCACGTGTCTCCTGATGCTGCTGTCTTCACAGCTGACGTGTTCTGACATGAAGTGGAAAAACCCCGACAGCTGCCTGACAACCAGCCTTTGAGCGATACACTAGCAAACAGCTGTAGCTGCGAGGCAAGTGCAGAGGCAGTTGAACTTCCAAGTCCAGCCTACCATTTGCTAGCTGCACCCAAGGCCGGCACCGGCACTGCACACCTCCCCGCTCCTCCGTGCAGGCATGGACCAGACAAAATCCAAACCAGGAGAAAAACAAACAAAAAACACTTTGCTCTGCAGTCTCTTAAGCTGGACCAGTCGACCCTGACCAAGGCTGGAACTGGCCTCGTGTCTGTGGCAACAGCTGCACAGCAGCGAGTGAGCTTGCCTGTGCTGCTGAGAGTGAACATGGCGGTGCAGCTGGGGGGGCAGGACCAGGTTCTTTGGAGTCATATCCTATATATCTGACCTGTTTGGGTAAAGCCAGAGGCCCCTGGGGACCTCCACTAGGCAACCTGTGCCAAGGGACTGTTTAGGGAGACTTCTCTACTGAGTTTCAAGCCCTTTTAGAGAAGACAACAGGTCCCAGGAAGAGACTGCCCCTGTTGCTGCTGTTCCATTTTAAGTCCCTACTGGGGAGAAAAATGTCAAAATAACTTGGTCTTTTTATTGGCAACTTAGGATGCAAAGTATTTTATTTTTAAACTTCTAAAGTTTGAACACAAGATAGCCTAGTTTAGATGAGTTTCCAAGCTGAATGCGCTTGCATGGAGCTCAGTTTCTGGCTGATAAACAGTTCCTAACACCCTAGGTGGGCGCCTACGTTCTGATCTGTGAGTGGTGAGCTGACCAGCTTCTGCTGGTGACGTCCCTTTTTTCCTTGGTAAGGGCTTAACAAACAATACGCATTGTTCTCGTCTTACACAGCCAGGGCTGTCCCGAATGTCTCCTGGGAGGCATACACCATGTACAGGAAGCCATCTTCATCTTTCTCACTCTCGTACACTTCAGAGATGGGCGTGGACACGCTCACCATGCTGTGCCCGTTCACCAGGAGGAAGAAGGCTTGATTGGCATTGAGCTGTAAGCGCCTTCTGTGGAGAGAAGACAGTGGGGAGACTGAGGTCTCATACTGTGTGCCAAACTTGGGTAACTAAAAAAGCCCACTGATGGCAAAGCCAAGCATGCCCACAGAGTTGTTCTCAGCTTGTTACAGGCCCCGGCGATGGCTGGAATCAGGGACTGGCTCTTTATCTAATGCCAGTTTAAAACTGTCATCCAAACAGCTACTAGTAGTCAAAATCTACAACTGGTCACAGCCTTTCGGCCTGCTGCAACTCTTGAGTCCACATTCTCTTACTAACTCCCACCGTCCAAACTTAAGTGTCTCCAACAGTTTACCAGGACGGCAGGATCACAAACTGGGGTCATCTGCAATCCACCACACCTAGCAATTGTAGTACTTTAAAAATTCACCCCCAGCAGGTGTGTCCCGCCCGCAGCCCCTCAGATGTGATGTCTTGAATATGCAGACTGCATTCACAGCTGTCCTGGGACATGCAGCTGCAGGCTGGATTAGAAAGAAGCAGAGGACCTAAAGCTGCCAAGATGGGTAAAGGAGAAATGTCACTCTAGGAAATAGGACAAGTGGCCAAATACCTAATTATCTTGATGAGCTCGCTCATGTTCACGTGATCAGGTACAAGGAACTTGGTTTTGTCCAGGACGGGCAGCTGCTTCTCACCCTTGTATCGTTCTATTATCACCTGCAGAGGCCAGAGACACTTAGAGCAGACACCCTCCCCACCCCCCATGCTGGGTGGCCCAGCTTGTGTCCTGCAGAGCCGGGCCTGACCCAGCCTTCTTTTCTCTTCCCCACAGTGCTCCTATGACCAGCACTGTCCCTGGCAAAATATGCACAGGAAATGTAACAGGGCCAGCAGGTACCCTTTTTGTTGTTTAAACTGTTTGTGCCAGGATTAATGCTGTATGCTACCACACCCGGCTACAGTTTTTTTTTTAAAAAAATCCCACACTGGAGCCCAGGATGGCCCTACCTACCTGTATCAGCCTTCTAAGCGCGAGGATTACAGACATACGCCTCATACCCACTGTGCTTGGCTCTAAGTTTTGTGGCTCATCAGATGGTTGTGAGCTGCCATGTGGGTGCTAGAACCAGACCCAGGTCCTCTGTGACAGCAACAAACGCTCTAAGCCACTGAGCATTTTTCTAGCCCCCAAAATAATTTTTTCAAAGCATATTTATTTATTATAATTTATTCACTTTATATGCTGATTATCTAGCTCTCTCCCTCCAAAATAATTTTTAAGAAATATTAAAAGCAGACTGGTGTGGTGGCGCACGCCTTTAGCCCCAGCACTTGGGAGGCAGGCTGCTATTTATGAGTCTGAGCCAGCCTGGTCTATAGAGTGTTCCAAAACAGCCAGAGTCACATAGAGACCCTATCCTAATAAAGAAACAAATAGAAAATAAAAAATAAAAGAAGTTAAACACCAGGCATGGATATGGGGCACATATTTGTAATCCCAGAATTTAGAGTCTGAGGCAGTGAACTGCCTTGAATTCAAGGATAACCTGGATGAGCCAGTCTCAAAAACAAGCCAAGCCAAAGAGCTGCTACAAGATCTGAACACTGATGAGCCTTAGAACCCCAAGTGCACCTTTTCCAGGTGCCACGGCCATCCACCTGAAGAACAGAAATCCATGCCTGGTCGCAGCATGGGGAGAGGGTTACCACCACATGCTGTGTCTGGAGGGAAGTGCTTGTCTGTACATGTCCCCTACACATGGTTCCTTCAAAGGCTGGTCTCAAGCTGGGGAGGTGGCTGGCTCAGAGGTTAAGAGCACCAGCTGCTTTTCAAAAGGTCCTGAGTTCCTAGCAACCACATGATGGCTCCCAACCATCTCTAATGAGATCTGGTGCCACTCTCTGGCGAGCAAGCACATATGCAGGCAGAACATTGTATACCCAATAAATAAATAAATCTTAAAGCTGCTAATCCCATCCCTGGAAAGACTGAGAGCTCCATCCAGTGGGCTGCTTAGACGCATGGCATCCACAGGAAATGCCAGTTGTGGGTGCCACATACCCGGGTCCCCGAGGCAGACCCCCCAGCAGCAGAGCACAGACCAGTGAAGGAACACGTGACCACGGTGCTGCTGGAGAGGAGTGGAAGTGGGGACTGCCCGCCAGGCTGGGCTGTGGACAGGTCCCAGCCCCTTGCTGGGAAGCCCCAGAGTGACACATCATGTAAGCATAGCTCCCTCTCCACTCCCTAACTTCTGCTCTCCCTTTAGGCTCGTATTTGGGAAGATGTATTGTTCATGGTAGAAGACAGGCTGGCTGCTCTAAAATAGGCCTCTGCCCTCAAGGTTTCCAGCCTGGAAGGCCTGGGAGCCACCAGACACTGTGGCCACCCTATTCTCAGCTAGGCCCCACTGGGCTAGCTCTCATGCTCGCTTCGTGTGATGAGAAGCTGAGCTTCTTCAAAGATCCTTCAGCTCCTATGGAAGGAAGCCACTTGGGTACCGCTGAGACCACAGCCCTGCAGGAAGCCGTGCGCAAACCCTGGCAGGCTCAGGCGCCTGTGCTTCCTGCAAGTAGGTCGGGCAGGCACTCCAAAGTGAAGGACTGTTTCAGCCCAGGAAAAGCTCCTCACAGGACCTGGCCCAGGAAGCACACTCTGGAGAAGGCCCACCCCAGGTGAGGAAGTGTCCAACCAGTGCAGAACAACATGCCCCGCCTCCCCCACCCTGCAGCAACAGTCCCAGCCCCTCCCTTATCAACTTCTTCCTTGCAGAAAAGAATGATGAACGGGGCTGGTGAGAAAACCACACCAGGACACACCTGCAGCAACTGGCTGGGGCTCCACTGGGACAGCTGACTCCCTAACAGAACTAGCGCAGCCACTTTGGGCGCTGGCCTGGCCATGCCTGACTCTAGTGAGATCCACAACCAGGGGACATGGAGTCTGGGGTGCTGATGGCTAGCTGGCGGTGAGTCCCCTCTGATCTATAAAGCAGCTGGGCCACCGTGGAGGACTACTGATTCCCACAGGAGCCACCCTCATCGCCTTAGTGGATTGCTGTTTAGCGGTGGCAAGCTCGGGCCCTAGGTTCAATCCCTGACACCAGAGAAAAGTAAAGAAAAAGCAAAAATGGTCTGGCCCACACGCCCCCTTTCCCCTTTGACATGCTCACGAGCAGCAAGCAGATGAGGAGGCATATGGTTAGTGGGTACACAAGCCCGAGAGTCTGGGGGGAGTCTGGTGGGATCACCCCCCCGAACTATCATCACAGCAAGAGAACCTACCGGGATTTTGGTGGGGTGCTGTTCGCGGATCAGGCGGACATCTTCCACTCTTTGTTCTACAAGAAAGGAAGCGACACAGTGACATCAGGGGCCATGCTGCCAGTCTCTGCAGCTGACTGTCCTGTGTTGAGGCAGGGCAGAGCAGTGACAGAGGCAGTCAGGGGAGCCAACAGCAATGACAGATCTATTAGCAGGGCCAGAGGGTAAAGCCCCCATTGCAAGGGGCTGCAAACCCAGATGTACAGCCACACGGAACAGGTTAACAGGTAACCTGGGGAAGGGGGGTGTCTCTCAATCTCCCTTCTGATTACTCCTATCACCCCAGTCAAGTATGTTTATTTTTCGGCTTGGGTAAACCAAGGACTGCTGCAATTTTCACCGAGCACTCCCAGTGTTGGAAGGAGAGGACTGGCGGTGACTGCTTTCCGAGACAGTCTACGATCCCAGGCTGCGTCAACTGGAGACCCTCTCGCCTGAGTTTTCCCAGAGCTGCAATTAGAGCTGTGCACCCGGGCTACCATGTGAAATGCTCTCAAAACACGGCCCCAAGATCGGAACACCATAATGTCTACTGGTGAATACTTTTCTGAGATGTCTCCTTTTGCATTGCTTGGTTTTTGAAACAGGGTCTTCTGCAGCACAGCCTGGCCTCAAACTCACCAGGTAGCTAAGGATGACCTTGACCTCCTTCTCAGCCTTTACCTCACAAGTGCCAGGGGGCCTGCAGCCACTATTATCTTCATTCTCAACACTGTACCAGGCTTCCTGCACTGCAGGCAGTGGTAGCTGGCTGTAACCGCTGGAGATGGCCTTGCCCTGCTCGCTCCTCTCAGGCACTGGCTGACCTCACAGCACCACTTCTCCCTGGCACCCACAGATGGGACAGGACCATCTACATTTGGCTTTCTGCCTCGGTCCAGAAGAACCCTCCACTGCACCCCCACGGAATACTCCAAGGTTTAGTCACTGCAATTAAGTCATTGTTACAAATTCTAGCTGCTTACGTACCTGGCATACATTCTATGCTTTGGGGCTGCAGCGCTGGCTCAGCAGTTGAGAGCAGCTCCTCTCCAAAAGGATTCAGGCTCAGTTCCCAGCACCCAGAGTGGCTCACAGCCATCTGCAACTCCCTTTTCTGGCCTCCATGAGCACAAGGCATGCATATGGTGCACAGACATACATGAAGGCAAAAGACCCATACACAGAGAATAAAAATGAAAAGCCTAATTCACAGTACCTCTAACCCCAGCTGGGGAAGCCCAAGGTCAGCGTGAACTACACCCTAAAACTTAAAAAGGTGCTCAGTGGTAGCACATACCTTTACTTAATCCTAGCATTCAGAAGGCAGAGGCAGGTCGATACGAATTTGAGGCCAGCCAGGTCAAGGCTATACATCAAAAAACACATCTCGAAAAACAACAAACAAACAAAAAGCCAGGCACCGTGGCACACACCTTTAATCCCAGAACTCAGGAGGCAGAGACACAAAGGTCTCTGTAAATTCAAGGCCAGCCCAGCCTACATAATGAGACCCTGTGTTTAAATCAACAACAACAACAAAAGCCCTTAGCCTAGCACGTAAGATGGAGCACTCAGAGCGGACGCTATTAAAGGTGGTAACTGGAGAAGAAATGGCAGGCCACGGGGCTCCACCAACAGAAACTACAGTGTCATTCTGATTTGTCCCAAAGGGAAAGACAGGAACAGCTGTCTTTATTAATGAAACAAGGGACAGAACTGATGGCCCGTAGGACCTGCTCTGCCCCTGCTGGCTGTGGGGAACCGGAACTGGGGGATGCCTGGAAGAGCTGGGATGCTCAGGCATGCTGGTGGCCTTTCAAAGCACACGGCTGTCCAGGGGCCAACATTTTGTACCAAAGCCTGCAATGACATGCTTATCAGGTCTCTCTGCAGACATCGGACCGGGCAACCAGAGACAGCTTCAGCATCTCCATGTTCCACAACCAGGCTTGTACAGAACATGACCAACAACCAAAGAAAAGCCACAACACGGCAGGGAACTGCTGGAGGACCAGCAAGGTCCAAGCCTGGACTCCTTTCCTTAAGCCTCTGGGAACCAAGAGTCCCAGATAAGAAGAGGGGAGACGTCTAAGGAAGTCTTGTGTTATTAGTGTTCTAGAAAAATAGATGCCACCCCCGCCCCCACTGCTCAGTTACATCCCTCACTTGGGCCCAGCCCTGAGTGATAGCTTAGATTCCTGAACTACCTAGGTGTTCTGTTTGTTTTGAGAGAAGGACAGCCTCACTATGTAGACCAGGCTGGCCTCAAACTCAGACTGGCCCGCCTCTGCCTCTCCAATGCTGGGATTAAAGGCATGGATCCCACCAGTTGGCAGCTTATGTTTGATGGGAATCTTGCTCTCCCTAGAGCTATTTATTTTGTCTCAGCACACAAACTTCCCAGGAAACACACCCAGTTCACTGAAGTTTAGGACCATCTAAAAAAATAAAAAGGGGAGGCAAACACTGGGTCACCACAGGGGGAGGGGGACAGTGAAGCCACTTTGCGAAGAGTGAACCCCAAAATCACTTGATCAGTTCTAACTTGAAATTGGTCGTGTCTAAAGCATCTGCAAGGGTGAACGGCCTCCAGGCAGTCTCAGTCCCCTTCCAGGGCTTGGGGATGATGGCTCCTTACTGGAAGTGTAAGAATTTATGACAGAAAGCTAATGGGATTCTACCACTAGGCGGATCCTGAGCGCCACTGCCCTAGGCCCCACCCAGGTTCTTCGGCTACAAAGGGTCTGTTTGGGATGAGCCCTACAGTAAGCACACCCTCGGTCTGGATTAGAGGACACTCCAGAGCTCCCATCGAAATAGCTCCAGACTCACTGGAGAAGACTGGTCTTGGCTTCCTCAAAGGGGCCTGTCTGTGCGGCAAACGCCTGAACTGTCAGTGCCCACAGCCAGGACCACGAAAGTCCCAAGCAAGGAAAGCCGCAGCCTTCAGATGCCCGCGCTTTCCTGGGAGAGAACGAAGGCGGACTCGGGGAAAACACGCCAAACCAGATGAAGCCTTGGAGGGCTCACCCCTCGGCCACTCTGGGGACCCGCGTCCCGGCTGGCCGCGCTCGCCTCGTTCTCCCCACCCTCGCTGCTTTCCTGAAGAGTGTCCCAGGATAACTAAAGACCACTATAAGCACGCAAAACAGCTGTTAAGTTTCCGTTCCGAGACAAAGGCCACCTCTCCTACACAAACGTCCCCAGGCGCCTGCGGGAGCGGAAGCGGCTGGGTGCTGCCCCAAGGGTTGGCGGGGCGCTCGGCCCACTAAGGACACAGCCCTGAGCACCGCGGCTGCGGTGCCCTCCGCCACCCGGGTCGGGTTTCCAGCCCCGCGGGGGACGCCGAGCCCACCGACGACAGACGGCCAGAGCCACGCGCCGGGCCCGGGCTACCCCGGGGGACTGGCCGGCGGGGAGCGCGAAGCCGAGGGAGGGAGAGGGAGACCCCACCGGCCTCGCCGCGACCCGGCCCCGCACGACACCCACCGTGATCCCGCCCTCCCGCCGTCCCGGCCCCGCCCGCCCTCCCACCCCCAGCCCCGGGCCCGCGGCGCGCACCGAAGCTCCGGCGCTGCTTGAAGGTCTTCTCGGACGGCATGGCGCGGGGGTCCCAGGGCGAGGATCTGGCTCCCGCGACGGCCGCTTCCCTTGTGTCTCCTCAGCCCGCAGCCGAGTCAGGTGACCCACGGCGCGTCCGTGAGGGCGGGACCGAGGGCCCCGACGGCCGCCATGATTGGCGTGGCGGAATCCTAGGCGGGGCGCCTGCGTGTCAGCGGCCAAGGGACAGTCCTCCTGCGCATGCGCCGGCTGCAGTGGGCGCTTCTTGGTAAGCGAGCATCTTTGTGTGCATCCCTGTGCTGGGTGCCGGTGTGGTGTGGACGAGCAGACCTAATTCCCCCTTAGCCCACGCATCTCCCCGCCCCTGCACCTCTGGTGTTTGTTGTTGTTTGTTTTTTGTTTTTCGAGACAAGGTTTTTCTTGACTGTCCTGGAATGTCTTTGTAGACCAGGGTGGCCTCGAACTCACAGAGATAAACGCCTGCCTCTGCCTTCCATAGTGCTGGGATTACAGGTGTGCGCCACCGCACCCGGCTTCGCCTCTGTTTTTGACATTCCTAAATTCCCCAAAAAGGCTGACTTGAGGGTTTGCCTGCTTAATCTTTATGTTTATGGCTCCAAGACGTCAGGAGACTTCTTGATGAATCTGATCTTGTGGCCCCTTCCCCTGCGGGTCCTGTGTGGCCACTAACACAAATAGATACCCCTACATTGAACTTGCAGAAAAGCAAGGTCTCAGGAGTTACAGACTTGTTGCTGGAGGGCAAGGTCATTTATTAGGTGTTCTAGCAAAAAAGAAAAATGACGACTCCACCTAGTCATGCCCACTTTCCCTTCCTATAACAGCCCTTCTGTGTACCGGAGCTTCTGAGCATGGAGTCTGTGGGCAGGGCTCACCTAGACTTCCCAGGGTGCCAGCCTCATTTCCTTTCCGCCACCTCTCCTCTCAAGCTTCTGATATGTGTGAGCAATCAGACTGGGTCCAGGAGCACCAGCAGAGGCCCGATCCAGCTAGGATCCACCTTGAAAACTCCAGAAGGACAATTCTGTCTGGAGACCTTTATCTCATCGGTCCCTTCCGTAACATACTTCCACCTCAGGTGACCCCCGGGTGGCTTTATCACAGGTCTGTTCCCACTTTGATCCCTGCTGACTGCCTCACTGTTGTGCCTGGCTCCTCAGCCATGGCTGCCTCCAGTCTGGGACAGCTTTCAATCCCATGGGGCCCTCAGTGTGTCAGCCAGTCTTAGCACTTTCTTTAAAGCATCAGGCTCCCTGTGAGAGGCAACACTGCCATGCAACTTCAGTTTGTAAGAGCTGGTGAGAGGTATAGAGTGCAAACCAACAGTGTTGAGCAGCCAACACCCACCTCTGCGTGCAATGCCGCGTCTGTGCCAGCTTGTGTCCTTGTATCTCTACTGCCTGGCACTGCACTAGCCCTGCACGGCAGACTTCCTCCTTTGACTTTGGAAGCAACCCCCTTTACCTGCTGTTTGCCAAAGGGATTGAGGGTACAGGAACATCCAAAACATATTAACGAGTGTTTGTGTTTGTTTGTTTCCTTGCTTGGCCTTGTTGTTCCCTTGAGGGCTGTGTTTTGTATGAAACACCTGGCCTGAGGCAAAAGAGAGCAGACTGAAAGTCAAAAGGGAAGCCATGTCTGGTGGCTCAAGGCACCCTGGAGGCTGAAGTGGGAGTATCTGAAACTCAAGGTCAAGTTGGGGGCTCAGCCCTTTAATCCCAGCACCAGGAGGGGAGAAACAGTCTGGTCTCTACAAAGGCAGCCTGTTCTACAAAGCAGGTTCCTACACAGTGAGAACCTGTCTACAAAAAAGGGGGGGGGGTGAGGTGGGGGACTAATGGCATGCTTCAGTGGGTAAGAGCACTGGCTGCTCTTGCTGAGGACCCAGAACCCACACTGCAGCTCCAGGGGATCTGACACCCTCTTCTAGCTTCCTCAGGCACCATGCACCCACATGGTGCTCTGGCAAACACTCCTACACACAAAATAAAAATCTTTAAAACAACCCACCAAACAATAATAGTCCAAAGCCAGCCTCAGCTACTTGATAAACCCCCAGTTCCTCTCTTTGAGACAGGGTCTCTCTATGAATCCCTGACCTGGAACTCACTCTATAAACCTCCTGACCTTGAACTCACAGAGATCCATGTGCCTCTGCCTCCAGAGGGCTGGGATTGAAAGTGTGAGCCTTCCTACCCCACCCATTATAGCCCTATCTCAAAAGATAAACAAGAAGAATGCAGTCAGCCTAGCTAAAATTGATGGCTCAAACCTAAATTGAAAGTGGGATGAGCTGGGCGTGATGGCCCTTGATCCAGCACCCAGGAGGCAGAGACAGGCAGATCTGCTGAGTTCCAGGACAGCCAGAGTTTTACAATGAGACCTTCCACAAAAAAACCTCCAAAAAAACTTCCAAAAACAAAAAAACAGGGAACATAGAGCCATATCTTTCAACAGGCTGCTTCAACTAGCACAGAAAGCTCTTCTGCTTTTAGCCCTTTCCAAGCTAGTCTGGTGTTAGCTAGTCAGTTTCCTATTGTCTGTCCACACTTGCGCAGGAAAGTGATCTTGAAACGGCCAGTGTAGCACTGCTGGTTTAGTGTAGTTTTCGTTTGTTTGTTTTTGATGCTTTCTTTAGCCTTTCTCAAGCTATGAAACTCATCTCCTGCACCTGGCCCAGGAAAACACAGTACTGATTTGTAGAATGAACTGTTGCCTGACCTCAGAACAGAAACCAAAGCAAATTAAAATCTTCAAGGCCCAGGGGATGGCACCAAGTGGTATAGTGTTCTCTGTGTAAGACTCTGGGTTTGAGTTCTAAAACACAAAACAACAACAACAGCAACAACAAAACCCTTCTGGTTGTAGCTTTGTTCTCTAACAATAGGGGCTGCTTACTTTTCCGGGTGTTTGTGACAGTAAGCCTTGCATGCTGAGGCTGTATTAATTGCTACTGTGTATGAAGTGTGTGTGTGTGTGTGTGTGTGTGTGTGTGTGTGTGTGTGTTTTGCTGGGCAGTGATATTGCACATGTCTTTAATCCCAGCACTTGGGAGGCAGAGGCAGGTGGATTTCTGAGTTCAAGGCCAGCTTGGACTACAGAGTGAGAAGGAAGAAAGAAAGAAAAGAAAGAAAGAGTGAGAAAGAGCAAGAAAGAGAGAGAGAAAAAGAAAAGAAGGAAGGAAGAAAGAGAGAAAGAGAAAGAAAGGAAGGAAGAAAGAACAAAAGAGGGAGGGAGGAAGGAAGGAAGAAAGGAAGGAAGGAAGAAAGAAAGAAAGAAAGAAAGAAAGAAAGGAAGGAAGGAAAAAAGACGGGTTTTGGGTTGCTGAACTGCACAAAATGTAAGGAAAGAAAAGGTCATATCTGGCTTGTGGAAAGGGGGAGAGGGAAAGAAGGATATTTGCCTTCCCCAGGCAACCCCAGAACCCCAGGATTCTCTCTTATCAACAAAGATTTGCAGAAGTGATGGCCAGGGTTGCTCTTTGGTTTTGCAATGCTGATCTTACACCTTTGAAAGCTCCTTTGAGCCTCCCCAAATTCTCACTGCAGTGACTCTAGAACCATATAACCCAACACTGTGAGAAGAAAACAAACCAAAAGAGGGGTGGGGGATGGGGGCGGGTAGTGGTGCTTTACAAGTCTTGCCTTCCCTAGGAGAAAGGCAGTTTATACCCACAGTACAGGTTCTATTCAGACCACGTTAAGTTTTCTTCACATACAAACACAAGAAGCCAGCTCATGGATTTGCAAACAGGAATGTGCCTGAGAGCACAACTGACTCTCTTTGGTTTTTCTTTAGTATTGCAAGGAGTTGGGCCAGGGCCTGGTACCTGCTAGGCAAGTAAGCCAGCACCCTCAGTGCCTGCCTAGCTTCCAAAAGACCTCGAGCTTTATCCCCAATCAAAACCCAAACAAAAGATGCATGGTTTATATAATACATTGAGCATGATTTATTTTTAATATTTATTTTTATGTATTAAAATATTTATTTTAATTTTTATCTGAATGTATTTCTGTACATCGTGTGTGTGTAGCACCCACAGAAGCTGGCATTGGATCCTCTGGAACTGGAGTTACAGACTGTGAGCTGCCATGTGGGTTCCGGCAACTGAACCTTAACTGAACTGATGCTCTTAACCCCTGAGACATCGTTCAAGCCCCACAGTATAATCTATTTTTAATAAGTAATATGATTCTTCCCCCTGAGATTGTCCACATACAGAAAAGCAAGAACGCAGACTTTTTATAGATTTATTGTTTACTCAGAGAATTTCTCGGGCTTTTAAATTTAACTACTAACTGGGTGTGGTGGGGCACACCTTTAAGCTCAGCACTCTGGAAGCAGAGGCAGGAGGATCTTTTGTGAGTTCCAGGCCATTCTGCTCAACCTAAGGAGCCTTTGTGTAGACATAAGAAGTAAAAACAAGCGTATCAACCAAACTGCTTCTTCTTGAACCCAAGCAGTGGCACTTTGAAAGTTTCCGACCCCACTGCTAGTTCGTACAAGTAGGTGAATGACAAAACATCTGGAAACCAACGTTTGTTCCCAGGGAGGAACCTAGACTGGAACCTGAGCACTGCGGAACACGGAAAGCCGGGAGCCAGAACACCAGAAGCCGGCGGACGCTTCCGCCCGCAGCGCAGAGCCGCGATGCCACACTCAACATGGAGAACGCGGGGTGCCGAGCGCTCTCAGGGCTGCGGAGCCAGCGCACGCCCCGCCCCGCCAACATGTCTTTCTGATTGGATGAAGCCGGCCATCGGCTTTGTTGTCTGGGAAGCTATTGACTAGTTATGCAGTCAATCTTAGCGTCACCTGTTCTTTAGAACAAGTAAACAAGAATTGCTCAAGAGCGTCTAGGGGAGTGGGGCGGCTTGTCCCGGGGGCGACGGTGGCCTCGGAGCGTCTAGGTCAAGTCTGCGGTGTCGCTCAGTGCTTACTCGCCGCGGGGCCGTTGAGGCTTGCAAGGTGGCTACGCGTCAGCTCCATCCCGACGCCTTGTGCTGGGCCTTTCCCGCACTTTTCTACCACTACACTTGTGCATCTGACTCCTGGCATGGGCTATGTTTTTATGTAGCTCAAAGGGCTCATACTGTAGCCC